CTTGTAGGTTTTACTAGGACTTGCTATGCAAAAATATGCATCTTGTAGCATAAGTTCCAAAACAAGTAACCCATTGGGCATCATTGGTCATATGATCAAGAAAGGTAAAAAAAATTAGAAACGATAGAGTCCAGAAGAAAATAGAGGTCGAGGCGAATATGGAAATAAAGCATTCGATCATACCAAAATGAAATATTTGTTCTTTTACACTAAACCTAACTACTGCTCATAAGCCTAGAAAGTACTATTGCACAAGTTCAATAAACTCTGAACGAAGCCCCATAGGCCTGACAGGTACAAAGAATAGCTAAGTCTATAAGATAGAATAATAAATAATATAAGAACTCAAAGACATCCAAGGTAACCAAGAACTAGTAATGTTCAAGTCCAGATAGGAAGAGTGGCGATCAACCTTACTATTCAACTCCTAGCCCTGCTAGAAAACATCTCAATCAACCCAGATCACCTAGCCATACTATTTACTTCTAGGGGCGTAAGCCACCCATCTAGACACAGTGACTTGGAGATGTATCAACTCCGTATAGGTTCTCAGATATCGAGCCCGCCCAACAATTCTACTCGTATAGGTGTATGCATCCCATGTAGAATGAATTCCCAGGGTAATTCAGTCCAAAGATAATTTCACGTAGGCTCCAAGCAATTGTGGATAAGCATTCACTCTCAATGGTATCGCAAGAGGCTCCAAGATGGTAGGACACTAATACAAAGAAGATATATAACCTCTACTAACATGCGAGAGTTGTAGAGTAAGGGACAGAAGACAAATAAACCTTAACTAAGGCATTTCTTATGAGACCCATGTCTGTTGTTCCAATCAACAAGGAAATCTATCCGAATAACGTAAGAGACATACAAACTTCATATGGTTCATTGTTTTAAGGTGACAATAGCCTATCCTAGAATAATCCAAATAAGACATGCTGATAAAGATCAAATATCCTCCTTAAAACCAATTAAATAGGACAATCGTCGTAGTCAATAAAAACCCAACGATGTTTCCGGGTCGAATCATCTAGGGAATGGTACATCATAGAGAATTCTTTTCAGCAAATTCATATTGTAATATTGTTGATTCATAATATAGAAAGAACAGTTGGATGGATGATTCACCAATTCAATAAAGATATTTAGTTATCAATTGTCATAGTTAAACTAAAATATCAGGGAATTAAGAGTTAAAAAGCAATCTAGGGTGGGGGATGAAAAATCAATATCACATATGGATAATTGTGCTAGTCTATAGTGATGAACATTCATGTATATGCTAGGTGATCTTCAATGAGGCTAATCATCTTTTATATAAATTCATAGACTCGTAGAATCTTCATCCCGTCCCATGTAGACGAGAATCTAAACAATCCAATACAATACTCTATTCACACTATTGACTCACAAATAGGGAAAAGAGATTTGGCCCACAACCTCTATTTTCTAGTAAATTACAACATCAAACTTAAAATTCTAGTATTGGATTACTACACACTATAACAAAAATCTTTCGAGCATCGACCAAAGACTAGAGGTAGAAATTAAGTTAGAAACCTAACCCAAAATTTATCCCCATGATAATTATCCCAAATTCATGTATTAACATCAGAAAAAGGAAGCATTAAACAATACAAACTATAAATACACCCCATGATCTTGGGGTTTTAGCCGCAAATCACAAAAAACAAAAAACAAATATGTATTTTCAATGAAAGCCACCATAGGTAACGTGAAATTAAGCAATTACAAGTAACACATTTTGGATTCAAATTATCAAATTCAAAAGAGAAATTGAAAAACCCCAAAATCTATTATTCTTCACAACGGTCAAGTGAACTAAATTATATGTTAGTCAGATTTTTCTAATTTTAAGGACATTTTCATTTCTCTCCCATTCAAAATATTTGTAGTTTCCCAAACATTAGCTAAAATCACAATGCCTATTTAATTTGGAGACATAAGTCAGGCTTTCCAAGATCATTCGATCAATCTCCTAATGTGCTTCATCTCGCCTTTTTATGCATTAGGCTGTAGGTGTTGAACCTTAATCGCCAAAATCATTTTGCGAATTATGAATGGATCCGGGGGGGGGGGGGGAGATAAGACACTAAAAATTAAAAAGAAAAAGTGTCTTTTAGATAGTTAATCGGGGATAATGTGGGTAGTAGGCAATGTGAAGAGGGATGACGGGTTTATATTTGGGGTGTTGCTTTTGGGCCCTTGTTTTTAGGGTTGTTCTGAAGATTTGGGTTATTAGTTGGTATGAATATTTGGGTCTTTTTGCTGTTTAAATCAATTCATTTGATCTTGTAAATTAATAACAAGTGCAATGTATAATTCGTATGCAAAAATATACATATTTAAAAATAGCCTAGATGATTTTATTAATTTTGTATGTATGAAATAAGAAATAAAACGATAACAATCAATTTAAATGTAAAAGAAATTCTTAGAAGTTAATTTTAAGTTAAAATGTATTTTATTAATAATTCTATAAATGTGACAAGGATAGTATTATAACTACAATAATAATAATTACGGACAAAATTATAGTTTTTATTAACTTAGAAAATCAATCAAATGTATTTTAAATAAAGGAGGGTCAAAATTGGTTGTCAAGACTTTTCCCTCTTTGACTGGAGACAATCAAAGAGTTTTTTGCTAAAGAAGTTGACGTTCTTGATAATTTTTCCCAACCATATGTTACAACCTTACTATATGATTAAAATGAAACCTACTAACGGTAGTAAATGCGAAAAACATACCAAAAATGAGAAGTAGTGTCCATAACGGTGAAGCTGCATAGAATGTAATACTAAAAATAAGATAACACAAAAAAAACAAAAAAAAAACAAAACAAAAGTATATACAAAGGAAACCCTACCCTAAGCTGGGTGGAACAAGTACACAATTTTCATTAAAGATAAATACATGTCCCAAAAGTGGACCACAACAAGTAATCTCAAAGTCAAAATGCAAACAAACATATGTACCAAAGGAGACATGTCGGTCCAAGTTACCAAGTTCTTACCCTCGTCTCTAATATCCACAAGTTGCAAAAGATTGCACAAATGATTATTTCTTGTAGGTTGTACTAGAAGTTGTATCAAAAAAATCTGCATAGTGTAGCAGAACTACTAAACAAGTTACTCAGTAGGCATCATAGCCATACCGATCAAGAAAGATAAATACAATAAGAAAAGATAGAGTCAAGACATAAATAAAGGTTGTGGAGAATATGAATTGAAAGCACATGAGTATACATAAGAAAACCTAAGTACTTCTAAACATAACCTAATTGGACCCCATAAGCCCATAAGGTAAATTTTGCACAAGTTCAATGAACTCTTAACTGACCCTATAAGCTTGATAGGTACTAAAAATAGCTAAGTCCATAAATTAGAATAACCAATATAATAACTCCAAAACATCTGTTCCAATCACAAGCAACCAATAATGAGTATTGTCCTAGTCAAGACAGGAAGAGTGGAAATCAACCCAACTAGTCTACTCCATCCACGCTAGAAAATCAAACAATCAACCTAGGCCACCGAGGAATATAGTGAACTTCTACAAGGTTAAGCCACCCATCTCGCAAGACAGACATAGCGGCGTTTCAATTTGATGGAGGATATCATACATCTAGGTCACCCAGGCTGTCTACTCCTAGGGGTGTCAGCTTCCAGGCAGCAAGAGTGCCTAGTGAGAATCCAATACAAATGAAATATCACATAGTCTCAATTAAATCATGGATTAACATCCATGCTCAATGGCATTGCAAATTCTCGAAGCTAGAAGAACTCCAATACAAAGAAGGTACATAACCTCTAGTAACGTTTCAAAGTTGCAAAGGTATGGGCAGAAGATAGGAGGTCTAAAAATATAGGAGAGAAGACAAAAAGCCTTAACTAAGGCTCTTCTTATGAGACTCAAGTATGATATTATATTCAAGAGGGACCAATCCTTCCAAAAGACATAAAAGTCATACAAAATTCACAAGGTGCATTGATCTAAGGAAATAGTAGTCTATCCAAGAATACGCCCAAAATATGATAAGAACTATAAAATATCCCTCCTAACACAAATAAAAGGGAAAGTGGTTGTAGACATCAACTATCCAACGAAAATTCAGTGTCGAATACCATAAGTATTGATATATTATAGAGAAATCTTTTAAGGAAATTCAGATTGTAAAATTTTTTCACTCCTTAAAGAAAGAACAATTCGTTGGATGAGTACACCAATTCAACAAAAAGTTTTGGTTTATCAATTTCCATAGTTAAATAAAACTATAAAGCACTTAATAGTTAATTGTAACACATCAAATTTGAGAAAGCCTTGGAACAGGTCTAACAGACTTGTCAATAACCAATATTAGACCATGAGATCCTCCATGGAGCCCTAGATGTGTCGTGAAGGGTACCACAGCTCGTATTGGTGCTCCTGTAAAGGAAACAAAACATGCCTCAAGAAGGCTCCCTCACACGGACTCTTATACGCATTTTGAAAAAAAAAAACGACCTATAAAAGTGGTCGTGAAGGGAACACGTTCAGTACGGGCTTACCTCGAGACACTAGTAAAAGATAACATGCCTCAAAACAGCATGTGAAATCGTTTTTAAGGGTTTTCATCAAACTTAAGAGATTAGGGTAAACTTCAACCGTCATATTGTTTAGCACATAATGAATTAGGTAGCCAAAACTTATAAAATTAATGTTTTTGAGTCATATTTCCAATGCCGCCAAGTTTTCTAAATTTTATACTTGGAATAAAAATTTATGCCCAATGTAGTAAAGCGCTATAGGGAAAGTATTCATCACGACCCATTTGATGGGCCATGTGAGTGCATGACGGCCCGTGAAGGCCTCATTGATGTAATCCAATAATTTTTTGTTACATAAATTTTGATATTTTCCCCAATTGTTGAACTTAATATTATGTCATTTTTTCTTCTACCCAAAGCTTTATGTAATGATTCTAAACCTCCAAATCACCCAAACTAAATTCATTCTCTTAATTTCTAAAAAAAAAATCATATTTTTCCTCTCAAATATTTCTCTTTCTAAAAGTTGAAGAACAAAGCTATCGTTTCAAGATCAAGCCTCCTAATCCTCAATTGCTTCCACAATTTGTTATCAAGGTATGATAATTTTATCTATGAAGTCTTTTCCTCCATATAGTTCCCCAACTCTCCAATTTATAAATTTAGAATTCTCCAATTGAGTTAGGTTTTCCTTCCATGTCATGGATTCGTTTTAATGTTGATTTATTTGATTGATGAACTTATATGCATGATTTGAATCAATTGCATGATTTTAAGTTGACTCCCATGAACCCATGCATAACACATGTTTTTATAGCTATGTTAATATAATGTTGGTACCTATGAAAGATAAATTTTTAATATTGTGCATGTGTTCACTTCTTGAATAGATGTAAATGAATTTAAAGATGCATTGACTTTGAAGACACGATGAAAATTATGAATTATCAAATAGAATGCATGTTCATGGAGGTATGTTTATGACTCAAGAAATATTTTAGATGATATTTTCTGTATGTTCTATAATGCGATAACTTTACATGGCATCTATAATTTCCCTCAATGCTTTTTGAGCTATTTTCCTATATTAGGTCTTCATTAGTATGGTACCCAGATATGTCATCAATGATTACAGACCATATTTTTTAACTATTTCCATTAGTATTAGGGGTATATCTAACATGAAGTGAATGACTACGGGCCTTAAAAGCTAGTATTAAATAAACACGGATAATGAGAGATTTTTTCACACATGGTCTAAGAATATATCAAATGAAAAAATATGTGGAGACTACCCATGTCTTTTAATCATAACATAAGAAAAGACTTAACAAATATTTTTTTTTGATATACGCTTAGCATTGAGAGCATATTGAGTTGGAAGTTCTTCCATATTGAGGTTGCGTTTCTATAAGCAATCTAATTATCCCTTACCTACGTGCCCCTATTGTATGATGGTCTAGATAGAAATTAGCTAGCAGATCCACTATAGCTCAACCATGGCCTTACCATGGTAAGAAGGGCAAGAACTTTGGGTCTGGGAGACACTGTATAACATCTCATAACATCAAATAACAAAAAATAAACTAAGAAAATAAGAATAATCATTTTTGGAAATAAATAGGGAAATCTAGAAAATTTTTGAATTTTAAAAAGTGAGTCTTGGTCAATTAAAAAACATCCACAAATCCCTATTCAGGAGGAGTTAGGCTATGTTCTTCATATAGTTATTAATAACCTTGGGGAGATATTTCCAACGTGCTGAGTTTGCGCATTTTTGATGTCGTGCGAAGGAGATATGCCTTTCAGATGTTGGACTGAGGAAGTCGAATCTAGATTTTAGTAAGGTTAAAGTAATATTTTCATCCTTGTATTGCCTAATTAATTTTAAGGGTTTATTAAGGTTAAATCCAAGTTTTAATTCAGTTTTAGAAAAGTTGATAATGCTTAAGTCTTGGGGAGAAGAGAGAAGACAAGGGGAAGATCAAGAATTCTTCAAGAACGCTAAGGTTTTGCTAGTGGAGTTCTTCGGGGGTGATCCCTCTAGAGGTATGCCAGATTTCTCTGTGTGGGATTTGTTCATCCACACACTAATATGTTTAACTCAACAAGTTTTATATCGATTGAATGTTGAATCATGAAGTTCTTGATGAACAATTGTCGAAATCCTATTCGTAGAGTTGTAATAAACCTTTAGTAGTTTTGATTAGTTTTCAGGGTTGTTTTAAGAGTCTAACTATCCGATATTGTAGCTTTTAGTGATCCTAAGTGTTTGCGATAATATTCATTGAAGTTTGGGAGGTTTAGAGTTGAAAACTAGATAAGACAAGTCACAAAACAACACTGACAAGCCCTAGGGTGCCGCACCAACAAGATCCACTCAAGACAAACTCTGTACGTCATGCCTTGTCATTCCATGCCATCAAAATCGTGTGATGATAGTTTCTATCCGCTAGGCTCTGGCACCCCATGACTCTTTGCGTGCTAGGTTCAGCAAGAGTTCCTATTCCTCCGCAATCTTTTTGTACTAGTTCCTAGGTGATGTACCTATCATTCCGAGTTGAATCAAATACTCTAAGTGCATCTAAACATGAAATCATCTATAAATGTGAGATCGTGATCCTTGAATCCATAACCAAATTCGGGAAAAGTTAAGACCAAAGACAAATAAGCTAGGATTCAAGTTTAAAAGTTAAGAAGTAAGTAAAAGTAAATTCTTAAAGAGTTCTAGAGTCTGCAACAAAAATTCTAACTTTTTTTTTAAGGCTGAAGCTATAAGTTGAGAAAAAAAGTAAAGAGTTGAGTTGAAATTCCTTTCTTCAAGAGTATGTAGGGAAAAGATTTTCCCAAAGAGAAATCAAATGTTTTAAAATTTTAAACAGCTAGCAAAACTATGATTTCCAAGAGATATTTTTAAAGCTATGTTTTGAGAACTAATATGGAATAACATAATCAATATATTTTAATAACGTAAAATCCAATGTATATTTTTGAGAGTAGTATTCAACACCGATGTGGAGAAGTAAAAGAGCGTCATAATTTTTAGATGAACCCTTTTTAGAGAGTATTAGTGGATCAATTAGGAAGTTTATATCCTTTACTCTAGCAAGGTTAGGATTGTTGGGCAACGTGGACCCAGTAACGATGTATTATCACTATAGATCTTAAGTGATGGTCGTATGTAAGAGAAGCTTCTAGAATAATATCTTCATACACATGAGTTATTTGTAATATTACATATATCTCGAATATTTTTTGTATACTGGTATATACATTTAGAGTTTACTCCATGTTTCAGTCTGCTTTTATTTTTATTGCATTTACTTTTAAACAGGACATATTGAATAAGAGTTAATACATCACGAGGTTGAACAGTGCCAAGGTAAGTGTTCTTTCTTACTCCATTTCAATATTGTCTTTTGTCATTCAAATTCACATACTCGTACATTCAATGTTGTGATATCACTTGACCTACATTATATAATGATGTAGACGTAGGTAACAGGGATCGACGTCTAGCACACCTGTGATCCAACAAAGCATCATAGAGTCAGTTGGATAGCCAAATTGCATTCCCAATAAAACCTTTTATGTCTTTCTAGTTAGTTCAGTAGAATGTTGTGGAGTCTGTCCTAACATTCATCTTAGTCAGTTTAGAGGATTTGTAGACAGTTAGTAGTTAAGTAGTCTTTACCTTTTAATTCTTATTTTAAAGACTTGGATTGCCATTTCGGCCATTTTGAATATATTTGTTGTCTTCCGCTAGTTTAAGAATGTTAGGCCAAGAGTTTGCTCGAGGTCAGCAATAGTAGCTGAGTGCTAGTCCTGCCTAGGATAAAGGCTTGGGACATGACAAACATGGTATTAAAGCACAGTGTTCAAGAGCGCTACGGCGTGGATAAAACCGTTTATAGAGTCTTAGTCATCGGCGTGAAGCGCACTATATGTATGACAAGGATTATACAACGTTTAGGAATTTATCACTTCTTTCATATTCCTTTTCATGTGTTAGTGTTTATCTCTAAAAATTTTCCATGTAATTCATGCTTGCATGTGTTGCAGATAATCACACCTCCACGAAGAGCAGTTAGAGGTCGACCAACTAGAAAAATGTTGCAGATCTATAGATAATTAATGCACCGAATATGCAACCTCAAGGATAGGTTACTAATGTTGAGTTCTGTTAGGCTATAGAATGCTGAGCCAATCGGTGACAAACCAAGTCAGGCAACATAGAGGAGCTCGAAAAGAAGGGGTTGATACTTCGAGGATTCGAGAATTCTTGAGGATGAAACCCTCAAGCTTCACTATTTAGAGCACTACTGAGGATCTAGTAAACTTTGTGAAAGACTTGAAGAAGGTATTTAACGTGATAAATGTGGTTGTTATTGAAGGTTTAAACTATCTGGATATCAACTCAAGAATGTGGCTAGGACTTTGTTCGATCACTGGAAGAAGGGTTGAGGTGAGGATGCACCCCTTCCGAGTTGGACTTGTTTTGGAAAGGCTTTCTTAGTATTGTTCTTTCCCCAAAAACTGATGGAGTCAAAGGTACGGGAGTTCCTTACTTTGAAATAAGACTCTTTGATCTTTCATATGTATTTGCTAAAGTTATTCCAACCGTCTTGCTATGCTCCGGATATGGTTAAGGATATGAGGAATATATAGAGCTTGTTCGTTGCTGGTTTAGGTCGGGCATAAATCAAGGAAGGCAGATCTACCACGCTGATTGGGGATATGGACATTGCAATGTTAATAGCTTATGTGCAGCAGCTAGAGGAAGAGAATCTTAGGAATGGATAGGAGTACAGAAACAAGAAAGCCAAGACTGGGAATGAGTTTGAGCAGCAGAAAAGTGGTTTGAATAGGCCACAATTTCTTAAGCCAAAGGGGCATGCACCATCATCTGCAAGTACACTTGCACCCATAGACAGAGCTGAGCATCATAGTAAGAACTCCCGAGCTAGGTCGACACATTCACAAGGTTGTGTGGCGCAAGGAGGTATTAAGCCTCCTTCATGCGCCATGTATTGTAGATATTACTGCAGCATATGTCGTGAAGGATCCACTATTTTTTTCAAGTGTAGTCAAATCGGACATTTCATGAGAGAATATTTCAAAAGCAAGCAAAGAGGTGGAAATGGGGGTAATAGAGATCAGTCTTTATCTGTTGCATTAATAGAAGGTACTGCACATAGGGGAGCTATATCTTGTGCTGGTAGAGGAACAAACCGTTTTTATGCTCTCAATAATTGCCAAGAACAGGAAGATCCACCAGATTTTGTCAGTAGTATGATTGGAGTCTTTGACTTTTCTTTTTATGCACTGTTAGACCAAGGAGCGAGTTTATCTTTTGTAACTTCTATGTTGCTATGAAATTTGAAATTATTCCAAAGTAACTTAGCAAACCATTTAGTGTTCCCACACCTATTGGTGAATCCATTCTAGCCGAAATATTCTATCGTGATTATCCTATTTTCGTTATTCACAAGAGTACCATGGCTAATTTAATGAAGTTGGACATGGTAGATTTTGATGTTATTGTAGGTATGGAATCACTTTATGCTTGTTATGAATCAATAGATTGAAGAACTCGAGTTATCATGTTTCATATTGTAAATGAGCCAGTCATAGAGTGGAGTAGTAGTTCAGTAGTGCATAAGGGTCGTTCCAATTCATACCTAAAGTTAAGAAAGTTAGTTTCCAAGGGGTGTATTTATCACTTAGTCAGAGTTAATGACTCAAGTGCTGAGGTACCTCCCCTTAAGACGTATCTCATAGTCAATGAGTTTTTAAAAGTCTTTTCGGATGATCTACCCAGAGTCCCTCCTGAAAGAGAAATAGACTTCAGCATAAACTTCATCCGAGTTACTGGTCCTATATCTATTCTTCCATATAGAATGGCACCACAAGAGTAGAAAGATCTAGAAGGACAATTGAAAGTTTTTTTCGATATGGTCTTTATTCAACAAACTGTCTCACCATTGGGGAGCTTTGGTCTTATTTGTGAGAAAGAAAGATAGTCCCATTAGGATGTGAGTAGATTACCGCAATTGGATAAGCTTAAAATCAAGAATACGTATTCTCTTCCAAGGGTAGATGTTTTTTTCGATCAACTTCAGTATGCTTCATGCTTCTCAAAAATTGATCTTGGATCGGGATATCGTCAGTTGAATGTTAGGGAATGTAATATTCCAAAAACAACTTTTTGAACCAGATATGGGCTCTACAAGTTTCTTGTTATGTCATTTGATGTGAAAAATGCACATGTAGCCTTCATATATCTTATGAACAGAGTCTTCTAACCTTATCTAGATCTGTTTTTCATCGTCTTCATTGATGATATGTTCATTTATTCAAGGAATGAAAAAGATCATGCAAGAAACCTTAGATTTTTTTGCAGACTTTGAAAGATAAGGAGATATATGTCATGTTCTCCAAGTGTTAATTTTAGATTAAATGTACAACATTCTTGGGACACATCGTTTCTGATGATGGTATTAATGTTATTACCAAAAATATTGAAGTAGCTCAAAGATAGCCTAGACCCACGTCTCCAACTATATAAGGAGTTTGTTGCGTTTGACTGGCTATTATGGAAGATTTGTTAAAAGGTTTTTCTTATTTTTTATCTTCTTTGACCAAGTTAACTCAAAAGATAGTCAAGTTTCAATGGTCGGAAGCTTGTGAGAATAGATTTAGGAATTGAAAAAGAGATGTACTACCACTCTAGTTTTGACCTTACGAGAAGGTACTCAACATTTTGTGGTGTATAGTGATGCATGGAAAGTTTGTTTTACTTGTTATTGATGAAGAATGGCAAGGTTATACCTTATGCCTCATGATAGTTGAAGATTTATGTATCCAACTCATGACATAGAATTGGTTGCAGTAGTTTTTGCATTGAAGATATGACGCAACTACTTGTATGGTGTTCATGTCGACATATTAACTAATCACTACAGCCTCCAATATATGTTCACTCTGATAGAACTGAATGTCACACATAGAAGGTTGTTGGAATTACTCAAGGATTACGACATGAGTATTTTTTACCGCCCAGGTAAGTCTAATGTGGTTGTTGATTCTTTAATTAGGTTATCCACTGGAAGTACTTCCAATGTTAAAGAAGGAAAAAGGGAGTTAGCTAAAGATTTGCACAGACTTGCACATTAGGGAGTTAAGTCTTTTGGATTCCACAGAAGGAGGTATAAAGGTGACCAATGGGCCAGAGTCGTCATTAGTTTCAAAGGAGAATGAGAAGCAAGACCAAGACTCCATTTTGATTTTTTTAGAGGTCAATGTTCATAAGAAAAAAAATAGCTTTTGAAATAGGGGGATATGGTGTGGTGAAGTATCAAGGTAGATTATATGTACCAAAGGTGGATGAACTCCAAGAAAGGATGATAGAGGACGTTTCGAGATCCATATATTCCAACCATTCGGGTTCCACAAAGATGTACCTTGATTTAAAAGAGGTTTAGTTGTGGCAAGACATGAAAAAGGTCATTGCCGAGTTTGTTGCCAAGTGTTCGAATTGAAAACAAGGGACTCTTGAACGCCAAAGTCCTAGAGGTTTTACTCAAAATATAGAACTTCCGAGATGGAAGTGGAAGAAGATTAATATGGACTTCATCACACCGTTGCCAAGGCCTTGCAAACAACATTATTCTATATGGGTGATTGTCGATAGAATGAAAAATTCAGCCCATTTCTTACCACTATGGACTACCTATTCTATCGAGGATTATGATAAGTTGTAATTTCAAGAAGTGGTAAGCCTTCATGAATTCTTGATATCCATTATTTCAGATAGAGGTGCACAATTTACTACACAATTCTTTAAATCTTTCCTGAAAGGTTTGGGTTCAAAGGTGAACTTAAGCACTGCTTTTCATCCTCACACAAATAGAAAAGCAGAGCGTACTATCCAAACCTTTGAAGATATGTTGATATATCATGTGATCGATTTCAAAGGAAATTGAGATGATCACATACCTCTCATTGAGGTCACTTACAACAATAATTACCATTCGAGCATCTAAATGGCTCCATAGGAGAAGATGCAGATCTCCTATTAGGCGTTTCGTTGTTGGTAAAGCAGGGTTTGTAGGACAATATATAGTTTACCAGACTATGGAGAAGGTGAAAGTGATTCAATAGAGATTAAAAACGGCACAAAGTCGTCAAAATACCTATTAAGATGTTAGGACAAGGCCATTACACTTTTTGGTGGAAGTTTGGGTGTATGTGAAAGTTTCACTCAGGAAGGGTGATATGAGGTTTGGTAAGAAGAGGAAACTAAGTCCCCGATATATTTGACCTTATAGAATCTCCAAGAGAGTTGACAATGTGACTTATGAGTTGGAGGTACCCCATAAATTAGTCGTGGTTCATCCAATATTCCATATTTCTATGTTGAAGAAGTGTATGGGTGATCCTTCATTGACTGTACCAATAGAGAATGTTGGTATTAAGGATATCTTATCTTATTAAGAAGTTCTGATTCTTATTTTGGATCGTCAAATTCGTAGGTTAAGGATAAATGAAGTTGCATTAGTTAAGGTCTTTTTTGAGGAACCAATTTATTGAAGAAGTGACTTGAAAATTTTATGATGATATAAAGAGGAGATATCCCCATTTGTTTAAATTCAAACAGAATGCTGATCAAGATATTAAATTCTATTCTTAACACTTTATAAGACTATGTGTACATATAGTTCTCATTCGAGGATGATGTTCCCGGGGTAGGGGGTATATTGTAAAATCTATTTTATTAAGATAACTAAGAATAAGCTCAGAAACCACGAATAATAATTTTTAAAATAAATAGGGAAATTTGGAAAATTTTCTAATTTTAAAAAGTCTGACTAGGTTATATTCAAACGTCCATAACTCCTAGCTCAAGAGGATGTATGGTGACTTCTTTATATGGTTGGAAATCCGTTTGAAATATCCTTCCAACGTTGCTAAGTTTGTGCATTTTTGATGTAGTATGAGGTGGATATGTCTTTCAGAAGTTGAGTTATTGGACTAAAAAAAGTAAAATCCAGATTTTAGTAAGGGTTAAACAGTCTTTTCACCCTAGTATTCCCTAATTTGTTATAAGGCTTTATTAGGTGTAAACTAAGCCTCAATTAAGTTTTAGAAAAATAATAATTCTTAGGCATCTGGGAGAAGAGAGAAGAGAAGAGGAAGATCAAGAATTCTTCAAGAACACTAAGGTTTCGCTAGTGGAATTTTCTGGGGTTATCCCTATCAAGGTATGTGAGATATTTCTGTGTTGGTTTCGTTAACCAACAAATTAATATGTATAATTCAGCAAGTTTTGTATTGATTTAATGATTAATCATGATGTTTTTGATGAACAATTGTTGAAATTTTGTTGGTAGAGTTGTAGTGTACCTTTAGTAGTTCTGGTTCATGTTTTCGGGCTATTTAAGGAGTCTAAACTATTGGTTATTAAGGATTGTCCTTCTATACAAGGCCAAGGAGGTATAAATGGTAGATATCATTCTACAACTTAAGAATCACCAACAAGTCGCCCGACTCTGCAGGGTAACTCATCTAGTAAAGGTTGTTATAAGCCCCAGAACAGGTTGTATTCTCTTTAGGCTTGCCATGATCCGAAAGGTTCTCCTGATGTAGTCACTAGTACTTTAAGAGTATTTGACCTTGATGTTTATGTATTGTTAGATCTAGGGATACTCCTTCTTTTGTAACTCCTTACATAGCAGCCCATTTCAGTGTAAGTCCACAAACACTCTCAGAACCTTTCTAAGTGTCTACTCCATTTGGTGACTCAGTTATAGCTAGAAGGGTATATAGAAATTTCCCTGTCACAGTCTCTCAGAAAGTCACCTTAGTAGATATTGTACAGTAAAGAAAAGGTAGACTTCGATGTCATTCCAAGCATGAATTGTTTACATTTATGTTATGCCTCAGCCAGTTGTAGAACTAGGATTGTTCGTTTTTAGTTTTCGAATGAACCAATCTTAGAATGGAAGGTTAGTATCTTACAGACTATGGCTTGATTAATTTTTTACCTTAAATCTAGAAAAATGATCTCTAAGATTTATCTCTATCATCTTTTTTGGGTAAAGGATTCTAGCTCTGAAACCCCAACTCTTGAGTCAGCCCTAGTAGTGAGTGAGTTTCCAAAAGTGTTTCCAGATGATATTCTCGAAATTCATCTAAAAAGGGAAATTGAATTTAAAATTGATCTCATTCAGGATACCAAACCTATTTTTATTCCTCTTTATAGAATGACTTCATTAGAGTTTAATGAATTGAAAAATCAGATGAAATACCTTCTAGATAAGGGCTTCATTAGACCTAGTATTTCACCATGGGGTGCTCCAGGGTTGTTTATTAACAAGAAAGATGGTTCTCTCA